CATCTGACTTCGAGAACTTGACTATGGGAGATAGTGAGACTATTGAGGAATTCAGCAGCAAGCTGAGTAACATCTCTCAAGAGGCTATAGTGTGTGGAAAACGCTATAAAGATAAGAAGTTGGTTAAAAAATTTCTCAGAAGTCTGCCAGAGAAGTTTCAGCCACATAGGTCTGCAATTGATGTCTCGTTGAATTCTGATGAGTTGAAATTCGATCAAGTAGTTGGGATGATGCAGGCATATGAGCTACAAGTTAAGAAAAAGGAGCAGGCGAGTGGAAAAACTTTCGCACTGAATACTGTTGATACTCAGGTATCTGCAGATGATGATAAAGTTGGTATGCTTGTGAGAAAGTACTTCAAGAAAATGGAGCGAGGTCAGCAACGTGGGTCTGCAGTCAACAACAGATCAGGGCAGCAGAAAGAATTCAAGAGGAGTGATAAGTCTGAGAAACAGTGTATTGAGTGTGAAGGCTATGGACACTTCAAGGCTGAATGTCCGAATATGAAGAAGAAAAATGCACTGAAATGTTATGAGTGTAAGGGCTATGGTCACACCAAGGCTGAATGCCTAGAAAGAGACTCCAAAGAGAAATCGTATGTGACTTGGAGTTAGAGTGATACTGATGAAGATGAAGGAAAAGGAGAAGTGCTAAACAATTTTGTGGCATTTTTGGGTATCATTGAGGAAGACGATGAGAGTGTTGGTGTGACAGCTCAGGAGGATGTTAATCAGGTCGTTGGTGATGAATCAGAGGATGATGAAGCAAATCTTCCAACTGAAGAACAAGGAGTCTGATGAACAAGACAAAGGAGATCTCTGATCTAACCACTGAAAGAAATGAACTTCAATTGAAAGTTTCTATGATATCCAAGGATCTTGAAGCTGAGAAAGTCAAGTCGCAGGGTCTTGAGAGGCGGGAGGATCAACTCAGAAACATCAAGATGCTGAGCAAAGGGACTAAAGATCTGGACAAACTCCAAACTGTGGGACGAACGGCTAATGTCAACTAGGGTTTAGGTATCAAGGTGGAAACTTCAATGGTACAACTAAGTTTGTTAAGGCAGCTCCGCAGTCAGCAGAAGATACCCAAAGGAAGTCTGTTCCTCAGAAGAATCAGAGACGTGTTGTGTCCTCATCTAATCAAGAACAATCAGCTCACGGTCGTAAATCAAGAATGGCTCCTCGTGAACAGGTTCAGTCAGCTTACGGTTCTGTGTTTCGTCTTCACCGTAGCAGAAGAACAGGTTGTTGGTATTGTGGTAATCTGAATCACTACAAGGCACAATGCTATGGATTTTCGAATCGTGTGTCTGCAATGATGCAGCATCAGCGGTATCACAGGGATTCTAAGAATACGAACAGAGTTTACATCAGAAAGAAAGATCTGTACTGCAATGTTGCTTACACTGCTGATGAACAGGAGTCAACTCAGGAGAAGTGGTATTTTGACAGTGGATGTTCAAGACACATGACTGGAGCTCAAGACAATCTATCAGAGTTTGAACAGGTTTCAGCAGGCAGAGTTACTTTTGGAGATGGTGCAAAAGGAAAAATAAGAGGAAAAGGTACCACAGGTGGTGAATCTCAACCAAGCTTACATAATGTGTTTCTGGTTGATGGACTGAAGGCCAATCTGATTAGCATCAGTCAATTGTGTGATGAGGGTCTGGATGTAACATTTACCAAGGCCAACTGCAAGGCTGTGGATCGTCTAGGACATGTTCAACTTATGGGACAGCGGTCTGGTAACAATTGTTACATGTGGAGTTCAGGTAATCGTTGTTTTCAAGCAGCTGTTGACTTTCAAACTGAGATGTGGCATAAGAAGTTAGGACATCTGAATGTTCGTACGATGCTGAGGCTTGCACATCAAGAGGTTGTTCGTGGGATGCCAAAGCTAAAGGTTGATCCCTACTTTGTGTGGACCGTGTAACAAGGGCAAGCAAGTGAGGGTTGCTCACAAATCGGTTCTTGATGTTCGTGTTGTTCATGCTTTGGAATTGGTTCACATGGACCTAATGGGACCAATGCGTGTCCAAAGTCTGACAAGTAAGCGTTTCATTCTTGTTATGGTTGATGATTTTACGCGCTACACATGGGTCCGTTTTCTACGAGAGAAATCGGATACTCTTGATAGTTTCAGAATTCTTGCACTGCAACTCAAGAGTGAAAAATGGGGAATCAAGACAGTACGAAGTGATCATGGTGGTGAATTCCAGAATGAGTTGGTTGATCAGTTCTGTGCTGCTCAAGGGATCACTCATCAATATTCTGCTCCTCGCACACCTCAGCAGAATGGAGTTGTAGAGCGGAAGAACAGAACACTGCAAGAAATGGCTAGAGCTATGCTGCATGGTAATCAGGTCGCCCAGCATTTCTGGGATGAAGCAATAAACACAGCATACTACATCATCAATCGGGTCTATGTGAGGAAAGGAACCAACAAGACCTTTTATGAGCTGTGGAAAGGAAAAACACCATCAGTCAGCTACTTCCATTTTTTCGGATGTATGTGCTATATTCTTAATGACAAGGATCAACTGGGCAAGTTTGATTCCAGGAGCGACGAAGGCCTGTTTCTGGGGTACTCAGGAAACAGCACAGCCTACCGAGTCTACAACAAACGGTCCAGGATGGTTCAAGAGACTGTTAATGTGGTGTTTGATGATGCGTCTTTTCGTGTATATGAAGATGTGTCCTCAGTAACTAATGCTCCTAAGGATTACAATGAAGGAGTTGTGGGGTATGAACCAAGTCCAGAGCAGGAAGTTGATGATGGCTCAGACGCCGATGAAGACACTGCTGAGCCTCTACCTACTCCTCAGGTGCATAAGAATCACACCTCTAATGATATTATAGGTACGATTCAAGGGGGCAGAGTTACTAGAGGAAAGAAGATCGACTTCAAGCAACTCGCTGGCCAGAAGCAGAAGAATGCTGCTGCTGAAGTTCCACAGATGGCGGCGGTTGTGCAGTTTGCTTGCTTTGTGTCAACCCTGGAGCCCAAGAATCACAGAGATGCTCTTGTTGATGAATACTGGATTGCTGCTATGCAAGATGAACTAGAGCAGTTTGAACGAAGTGATGTCTGGGAGCTCAAACAACGACCAGCTGATGTCAATGTTGTGGGTACTAAGTGGATCTTCAAAACCAAGAGTGATGCGCAGGGATGTATTGTTCGCAATAAGGCGTGGTTGGTTGCTCAAGGATACTCTCAGATAGAAGGCATTGATTTTGACGAGACCTTTGCTCCTGTAGCAAGACTGGAGTCCATCATGTTTCTGTTTGGCATGGCATGTGCTCTGAATTTCACATTGCATCAGATGGATGTTAAGAGTGCCTTTCTAAATGGAATTGTATGTAGAGCAATTTAAAGGATTTGAGAATCCGCAGCGTCCTGATCATGTGTACAAGCTAAAGAAGGCTCTCTACGGACTGAAACAGGCTCCAAGAGCTTGGTATGAGCGTCTGACGACATTTCTGATCAAACAAGGATACGTGCGTGGGAATGTAGACAAAACGCTGTTTGTGTTTCAAGATAACAATGGTGTGATGTTTGTTCAGATATATGTTGATGAAATTGTCTTTGGATCCACATGTTAGCCGCTATTTGATCAGTTTGTGAAGAACATGACTCAAGAATTTGAAATGAGCATGTGTGGCGAGTTAAACTATTTCTTGGGGCTGCAAGTGAATCAATCAGCTGATGGAATATTTGTTTCACACAGCACCTATGCCAAGAACCTAGTTGAACGTTTTGGTCTCGCTAAGAGTAAAGAGGCGAAGGTGCCAATGAGTGTGACTGACAAGCTATCAAAGGATGAAGCAGGAGAGGATGTTGATGAAAGAGTTTACAGAGGAATGATCGGGAGTCTGTTGTACTTAACTGCCAGCAGACCAGACATTTGTTTATCTGTTGGAATCTGTGCTCGGTATCAAGCCAAACCAAAGAAGTCTCATTTGTTGGCTGTTAAGAAAATCATCAAGTACATCAAGGGGACTGTAAATATTGGGATATACTACACCAAGGATACAACCAGGAGCTTGGCAGGCTACTGTGATGCTGATTGGGCTGGTTCATTGGACGATCGTAGAAGCACAAGTGGTGGATGTTTCTTCATGGGCAACAACCTGATTTCATGGCACAGCAAGAAACAGAACAGTGTTTCTCTGTCAACAGCAGAAGCCGAGTACATTGCACTGGGAAGTTGCTGTACTCAACTCATGTGGATGAAACAAATGGTTGCTGACTATGGTATGGATTCTGAAACTCTCTTAATTCATTGTGATAACCAAAGTGCAATCAACATAGCTAAGAATCCTGTTCAACATTCACGTACTAAGCATATTGATATTAGGCATCATTTTATTCGTGAACTTGTTGAGGCGAAACTGATTGTGGTTGATCATGTGAGTACATAATTTCAATTGGCTGATTTGTTTACTAAACCTTTGGATTTTAACAGATTCGTGAATCTGAGAAAATCCATTAGGATTTGTGAGATCTAACTTTCTCTGTGAGTTGTGCTGATCTAAGACAGGGACTGGAGCAAGAACAAACCATGGAAATCCTAAGAATGAATAGAAGATCAGCACCCTGTACTTCGGTTTAAAGAGAGTGGAAAATAGCTGCCTGTCATGCCAACTCTTGTGGACATTCCTGTGAAACGTTGTCGTGATAACGGAGGTCAAATAGCTGAGGAGAGGTGGAAGTGTGCATGTCACGAGATATACTTGGAATTGTAATACATCAACAATTCGATTCCAGTAATCTATTAATGGAGCTCTGAAAAACGTTATTGAAGACATGCACAAGGATCAGTGGTTGAGAAGTCAAGTGATATCATTGATCCACAAATCAGAAGGTTTAACAGAGGCTTGGTCAAAAATCAACGTTCTGAGAGAAGGCTCTGCTTGACTATTAAATCATAGCTCCACAGGTAGTGTGTTAAACAAAAAAAAAAACAAAAAAAAAAGGGTTTAACACACTCCTAACACACTCCTGGTCCTGCACTCTCCAAAGGGTATTCCAGCTGCCTATTCATGTTGGGTATGCCAGACTGAAAGACTAGCCACTGAACTCAGAGCTGATCTGTCGAAGATTCAGAAGGTTGTGGTAGCTTCTAGCTCTGTCCTGAACAATTGGTTGGCACAGAACACAGAAGAGAGAGAGACTCAAGGTACATGTTTTTGAATGATTTTATGATAATACTTCCAAGTGCTCACATGTTGATTATCATTCTGGGTCCCTAAAGCATGTTCATGAGTAGAGTGAGTCTAGTTAAAAGAAAATTGTTTGAGGTTCTGGTTTGAACTCAAGAATGTGAAAAAAAAAATTGGCTTGAAAATCAGATTTTAGACTTTGTTGATAAGTGTGCACTAATGGTTTTGTTAAGTGTTTCAGGTTCGTGGGCTATTAAATTTATTTCAGGTGAAGCCCATTTGTTTCAAAGCCCATAAGATTGCTAAGCATATTTAGGAGGGAAACATTAGGGTTAAGTGCTAAACGTGGAAGTTGAAAGGTTTTCGAATTTGTGCTTCTCTTGTTCTCTCAACTTCACGAGTTTGAAACCCTAAGCCAAGCACGATCGACGATATGAAGTCCATTTTCAGCGGAATCCAGAAGCTTGTTTCGAGCCAGTCGCCAGAACCTGTTGCGTCTCCACCGGAACAGCAGATTCCGACGGAAATGCAGTCTCCGACGGACGAAGAGCAGGTCCCCAGTCAGGAAGTCGAGTCGATGGATCAAATGAACCAGTCGGTCCCGTATTCAGTCACTCTTCCTGATTCAGAGGCTCAGGATCTAGAGAAGCCTGAATCTCCCAAATCGCCAACGACTGTTGATGGCGATTGCGATTCCTACGTAAACACTCAGAGATCTCAACCGGCTGAGCGAAATGAACCAAATCGGGTTATGGAAATTGAAGACCTTTCCGATGGTTCTGATTCGGTTCAAGTAACCGGAACCACTGGACCATCTGTCTCGTTTCGAGTACTGAAGCGTAAGCAGTTAGCCGCGATGCCTTCTGAGCAGAAGAAGCGGCGTCAAGCGATTCGAGGAAAAGGGGTGGCTGTGAAAGGCGAACCGTCTTTGGAATTTGATCAAACCCGGTTTGGATCTGCTGTTGCTTTTCAGAGGTATGGTTCGTTTCTTTCCCGGAAATTGCATGCTGAGGTGAACACTACTTTTGGTGAAATTGATGAGGTCAAGGATTTGATAGCTGCGGCTAGACTACTTAGGACTGTTTCCGAAAGCAAGCCTTTTGATTCTCAAGTAGTGTATGAGTTTTGGGCTAATCTGCCGTCTGTTGAGCCTGAAACAGAATCAATGGATGTTTTAATCCGCAACTGGGTTTATGAGTTCACTTTTGACAGGATCAATGCTCTGTTTGGTCTTGCATCTGTGGATGAACGTACAGAACAACGGCATATGGCTGAAGTGATTACCTCAGACATAGCTCTCTTTGTGTCAGGAGGTAAAGCCAAGGTCTTCAAGCAGTTCCAACTATCTAAGGTTGAGGACAACAACACGAAAGATCTTCTCAAGATCTGTTGTACCAACTGGCTGCCTACCACCAATGATGGGTATGTCACTCCTGATAGAGCCAAATTGGTTTACAAGGTGATGCATCAGAAGCCGTTTGATTTTGGGAGGATGGTCCTTAAGCTGATCATCAACATGGGTGTGACCCCTGTCTCAAAGTTGTGCCTGCCGTTTCCCAGTTTGATCTATCAGCTGATCCAGTCACAGCACCCTGTGCATCCTGATGTATCTCAGCCAGTGCCAAAGTCTACCAAGAAGGGCAAAGCAAAGAAAGGACAGACTGCTGAGGTTCCAGTGTACTCTTCAGATGATCGCAAGGCGTTGCGTCGTGCTATTCAGATCATGCAGCGTATCATCGATGCAGGTAAGTGTTTCTTCTTTCAATCTGTCATTCATGTGATCCATAAGTTACTTGTTTTTGACTTAGTTGTGCAAACAAGAAGGGGGAGATGATTCTGATTCTGATGATCATAGGACTGATTGATTTGTGGGGGAGCATTTGTCCTGGGGAGCAGTTGCTGTTGTTGCTGTTTGCTTTTGGTTGTTAGCAGCAATGTATTTTTATTACAGAACCTTGTTTCGTTAGCTTTTAGCTTTTGGGTCTGTAATATGTTTAAACATGGCATTTTAGGATTTCTTATTTTGGGATTTATGCTAGTTATATTGCTAGATGTTTTCCTTGTTGCTGTGTTTTGGTTTTGTCTCTCTGTGACTTTCAGGTTTATCACAAAGGATGATTGATTATCAAACTAAGTAAAAACGGGGGAGATTGAAGATGCAGTTCCAGAACAGCTTGCTGTGAAGATCAGGAAGCTGCATCTGTTCAGACGCCTGAGACCACATCAGACGCCTGGGATCACATCAGACACTTGAAGTTGCTGACATGGAGTCGTGAGATGACGTGGCAAAGCTTAAGTGGATGGAGTGACGTGCTAAGGAAGATTTATTGCTTGGCAGCAAAGATAGAGACGAATTGCGTGTGAAGATATGGTGAATATTCTTTACATCAAATAAAGAAAGGATGAGCTTGACAAGCAAGCATATTCCGTTTCGGTGAGATCCTCGAAGATCCTAGGGTTAGGGTTTCGGGTAGTTAGTATAAATAGTCTAGGGTTAGCCACGAGCCACTTTGAACACTTTAGACTCTTTGTACGTGATTGTAAACTTCGAAGCTAGCAAAACAAAAAGCTGAGAAGGTGAGTGTTTGTTTTCTCTTGGGACTACACGGGTGTAGGAGAGATAGGTTTAGTGCTCGTTCTTTAGTCGGGTTCAATTCTATTGGGAGGAATAGATTTAGTAAGAGCCGAGACAAAATTGTATCCTAGGAAAAGATAAATTTTGTTAATAAAGATCGAAAGAAAAAGCGTTTGCTTGGCGCGTTCCAAGCGTAACTGTCTGTGTGTCTCTCTATACGTTTTCAGAATCTAACCAACACATGGAATTTAGTAAATTAAATGCTTGCCCAGGTTCTTTATGGGGCGCAAGTCTATTAAAAAATTAAAGTTAGTCCACTATGTTTTTACTCCGTACTCTCAAGTGATGTTCTTACTTAACACCGCTGCCATAAACCTGGTGTATAGTGGGTTGTGGAAATTGGTATTTTTACCCAAATTATAAAGGTGTAATGGTAAAAGAGTACATATTTTGTTAATTCGATTTGCTATTAAAATGTGTTTCAGTTTTTTTTTCTTTCTCTATCTCTTACTTGGCTTTTCAGATGGAATGTAAACCATAAATATTAATTCTAGATTTTAAGTCAAATTCTAACATGGATTGGAAGCCACTCTTAGAAGAAGTTTATCCATCTTTTGGGACATGTTTGTGTATATGGTTGTTTTAGTGTTTGTGTATATGTATTTTGATTGATAATCATTTACTGCTAGGGTCTTAAGTTACGCCTTAATGGTTGGAATATGTTTTTTTTTAAATGGTCTTCCACGAATTTTATTGATGAATAAGTATTTGAACTAATATACAAGCAAGTATATAAAAAGGTAATCAACCAGCGGGTGGCTTTAACTGCAACTCTATGTAGAACATGGTTGAAACCTTCCTTTGTGGCACTAGCTTCTTAAATCTTTTTTATGATAGGATTGGATATACTCATGATTTATTCTTTCATACAAAAAAAAAACATGCTCCGGAGAAGCTTGAGATCTCAGCAATAAGGATTTAAATCAAAAAATTTTTACCTTAAAACTTCATTTCTAGAAAGGCATCTACCTCCTTTGGCCCATTCGATATTCGTGAGAACTTCATCAATGACCTTCATCAGGGGATGCATTAGATTTTATTTTTTATTATTTTTATTGTTAGACTTTGTGTTTTCATTGTATGCATTCTGCTGCATTGCTGGATTTTGACTATCTTTTAAAGCTAAAGGCATGTCCAGAATATTCTCTTTTACTGTCTTTGGATCTTCTCTTTATTTGTAATAATTATATTTTTATAATGGGTTTATTACGAAACACTTTATTTCAATTCTCTTAAAATAAAACTATTTCATGTTTAAAATCAGTATTGGAACTATAGCTTAACCAAGATAGTGGTCAAAACTAAAAATTAACCCAAAATTTAAAAATTGAATACTTGAAAATCAAATATTTAACTGTGTTTGGATATAAATCGGATAATTTCCCAGCCGATTATATTATTTCCATATCTAGATTTTGAATTTCCTTATATTCTCTTACTAATTTAAGATAATAAATTAAAAACATTTATTACTCTCCTTTCACTTTTATTTGATCTTTTTTTAATTTGTTATATTAAAATATATAATATAAATATAGAATAAAAATTCATCTTTTTTAATATGTTGTCATTTGAAAATTTCAAAACGGATATCTATTACTGAATTGTCTAAGAAAATATTATTATAAACGTATAATTTTATTAAAATAAAGTTTGGATATCTAAATCGGGTTGGTTAAATATTTTGGTTAAATCTAAGCGGGTTGGTTAAATATTTTCATGAAATTTTATATTATACTTTATTGATAGAAAAAAGTATTAGACATACCGCATCGGTTAAACATTTTGGACAATGGTTTTAAATCATTATAAACATGACCAGTATGCTTCTAACTATGAATGAGCATGAAATTTTACTTATCGGGTTTAAATTTTAAACTTTTTGTTTGGATTAATAAAGTTATTTGTTTGAGCATATAAAATTAAAAAAGTTTCAATATATTATACTTTTTAAATGTTTGAAAAGTTTAAAATATTTTAATATTGAAACCTTTAAAATATTCAAATAAAAAAAATAATAGAATAAAATATTAGAAACGGATCAGAATATTTTTGCAATGGGCCAGAACATGATACACACGGAAAATAGGCTTTTCCATACCTGCAAAATTACTCTATGATGAATTCATACATTGAACTATCGCATGTGTTAAATCATACATGCACTCTTAAATAATTTAAATTTCAAACCTAAAATTTAGTTTTTTTGCCAAAACATACAAAAACGTGATAAATGTTTAGCTAATTTTGATGGGGCATCCACATGTGCAGTAGTCATGCTAATGTGGAATCCACGTGTGCTGAAGTCATGCTGACATGGAATCCACATGTACAAAAATGAAACAAAATTGGTGGAATTTCAAAAATACCATTTTTCCAATACCATTTTTTTTTAAATACCACTCTTGTAAATTTATCAAAAAGTCACTAGAATTTGAAATTTATCAAAAATATATATGTAAGCTTTATATATATAGCCACAAATTATTTTCATATGTGTGTAAATTTAAAAACCTTATAAAAGCTTTATAAATACCATATAAATACCTTCTTAAAACATTTGAATAACTTCGAATCCCAGTTTAACACAATACTGGCCGATACTCCATGAAGTCTGACAATCTCCTGCACATACTTCTTGGTTAACACTGCCGCTCCATCAGTCTTCTTGATAGCCAGAAAGTGTGCAGACTTGGTTAAACGATCTACAATGACCCAAATAGCATCCTTGAACTGAGACACCGGCAAACCAACTATGAAATCCATCGTAATTATGTCTCACTTCCACTCTGGAATAGGAAGACTCTGCAGTAGACTACTTGGCACCTAATGCTCAGCCTTCACTAGCTGACACACATCACACTCATACACCCACTTAGCCACGTCTTCTTCATCCCAATTGTAGTACCTTTCCAGTTCTCTGTACATCTTGGTTGATTCTGTATGAATAGAGAACATTCTCCCATGAGCCTCACTTATAATCTCACGCCTTAAACCCTCATTCTTGGGAACACAAAACCGCCCATGCACAAGAATAGTCTTGTTGGCTGCAACCTGATACTCTAAATCTATATCCTTAGAAGTACTAACCAGCCCTGCACCATTCTCCTGAGCCGTCCTACCTATGGTCAGAAGATCTGCTCGGCTAGCTACCTCTAACCCAAGTGACTCCTGAGAAGTAGCACACAAACGCAGAGTGCTAATCTCTCCTACCAAGGTCTTCATATCCTGCCCTCTAGCTGAAGCCGGTCGCTTCCTACTCAAGGCATCTGCAACCAAATTAGCCTTACCGGGATGGTAAGCTATCTCTAGGTCATAGTCTGCAACCAATTCCATCCACCGCCTCTGTCTTAAATTCAACTCAGATTGCGTGAATATGTACTTCAGGCTCTTATGATCTCTAAACACCTGAACCTTCGCCCCATACAGATAGGATCTCCAAATCTTCAGAGCGAATACTACCGCCGCCATCTCCAAGTCTTGAGTAGGGTAGTTTCCCTCATGCTTCCGAAACTGCCGCAAAACATATGCAATCAACTTACTGTAACGCCCGTGTCTGATATTTTGGTGGTGTCGACCGACACCAGTGTTGGGTGTCGATCGACACCAACAAAATTGGGTTAGACGGTTTAGCTTTTAAACCATCGGTTTTATTAGAATTGATTGCAGAAACCCTAGGCACGACTTTAAACTCGTGGAAGCTGCCTTTCTTTCTCACTTTTGGCTTTTGTCGCTTCTTGAAAAGAAAAAAGAGAGAGAGGGTTGTGAGTTGGTTGTTCCTAAAGTTCAAGGAGAGGCTTGTGAGGGTTTCTGGAGGTTTTTGGAGGCTGTTCTTCAGTGTTCTAGCAAAGGATCAGTGGGATTCGTGGTTGTGGGTGTGAAGAGAGGTTGCTGGAGTGTTCTCCTTCTCTGTTTCGTCCATCCTTCCAATCCAAATCAGAGGTAAAGTGTGACGTGGAATCATGGCGAGGAGAGGAGGATGATCTAGGGTCTCGGTTGTTATGATATGTATATGTTAATTGTTGTTGGAACCTGGTTTAGAGGCATGCTAGGTTGCTGGTGTAAATTGTGGTTATTGCATGATGGTTTATTGCTGGGTTACTTCGGTTAGATTAATTAGTAGGTATGGGACTATTAATTAATGAATTTTAAAAAGATGGGTCGGGTCTTTTCAATTTGGTATCAGAGCCCTTACGGTTCTAGGGCGGGAGTAAATTGGTGATTTTTAATGTGATATGTGAATTTCATTGATGAGAAATGATTATGTGGATTGCATGCTGATTAACTTGTGTGTTTAATCAATTGTATGAGCATGGAGACCTAGATCATCCTCTCGAGCCTTCAATGGGATTCACGGTTAGTTGTGTGTTTTGTGAGTATTACTTGGATTTGACTTGTTGGTGTCATGGGAAGAGAAATATGTGTGAGTTTCTAAAAATCGAAAGTGTCGGGTTTGACAGTTCTATTTTCAGAAAGTTTTGGGATTGTGGTTAGTATAGCATTGTGATGCTATAGGGGAACCACGGGAGGTATATTTATTTGGAGATATGCTCGGGTGCGTTTAGCCTTATTTGCTCGGGTGTGATGTGATAGTCTCAGATGAGATGTGATAGTCTCAGATGACGATTCGAGAGCACACTTAAGGGTGACGACCTGAGAGCGAGTGTGATACTCCCCAGATACCGTAGCTTGAAGGCTGGAGGCCTAATAGTGAGCCGGTATTATTCATGGGTTGCGACCTGTGGATGGGGGGAGTGGTGAAACTTCCCGGATACCGTAGCTTGAAGGTTGTTGGCCTAATAGTGAGCCGGTATGACTCGAAGGTTGCGACCTGAGAGCGGGGGGAGTGGTGAGACTTCCTGGATACCGTAGTCTAAGGCTGGAGCCTGAGGACGAGCCGGTATGATTCATGGGTTGTGACCTGTGGACGGGGGAGGTGGTTGTGTATGAGCAAATAGGGTCTGGAACGTGAGCATATTGATTAGATAGGGGCTTCGGTGAGGTCAGTTGTGTACTGACGGTTGTGTTGGAGGATTCGAGGACGAATCCTAGTTAGTGGGGGAGAATTGTAACGCCCGTGTCTGAAATTTTGGTGGTGTCGACCGACACCTGTGTTGGGTGTCGATCGACACCAACA